TTAAAAACCGGGCTCTTTTCCAGCTCTCGCCTATGATTTTTTCTTGAAATTCAATTTATAAAAGTCTATTTAAAATGACTTTTCAATTTAAACACTGCATCAAAACGTGTCAGCTTGAACAGGTGAACAATTTTTTACAACATTTCTTTCATTCGAAACTTCGTATGAACAACTTCTGAACAGATTTATTTTTTTATTTTATGGGGAAACTGAAAAAGAGCTTAAAACCGTATTGCAAAATCTTTGAAAGCTTATTTTGTCTTTAAATGCAGCTAATTGAGTTCATTTTAATTTTTTACATAAAAATAAGCAAAACTTAGCGTCACAGAACTTGGCAAATAATTTTCTGTTAATCTTTCATTTTCTTTTTTTTTTATAAATGGTTGTAGTGAACGCATTTTTTTAGCTCAACCGGAAAAGTATTCGACTTGATGAATTCATTTATTACGTTTTATAGGTGTTTTTCCGTTATAAGTTTTGTACATTTATTGCTCCATGATGTTATATTCATAGGACGGGTAGCGTTCTTAATTGTGAACTATCAATTGACACACTAAGTTCTTTTCTGGTAATTGGCCTGAATTCGAGTAATTTCTTAAAATATTCTGACCACTGAACAAATAATGTTTTAAAATTACCAAGTTCTGCTGACCCTCGACTTAACGTTTTTACTATATCATATTTACAAAAAACTGTTTTCTGATAACCCGTCCCTAGCATTTTTCGAAAGTCTATTAACAAGGTTTCTGTGTTTGGTATAAACTATTTCATTCGCATCTGTTTGATCAATCTTCCAATTGCTAAAAAGCCGAGTTGTTGATAATCGAAGAAGACTTTTTTCACCCTGAGTGATTCAAGTGAAAATCAAGTAAGCTTTATCTGAAAAAAAAACTTTAAAAAATTTTGCCGAACGCTCTGCCACTTTTTAAGGATACCAGATACCATTGCAATTGCTAAATCAACCGTACAATTCCCCCTACCCTACCCCTCCCCTCTCTCCCAGCCTAGTGCAATTTAGGCAGATAAAATAATGGTTTTTCATACATTAGCTTTGAGGACAAAATTAGTTGATCTAATTAATCAAAAATGTTATTCTAAAAATAATTTTGAATATTACTTCTGTGAAATAACAGTATAAAAAAGTACTCCTTTAAAAAATTTCAATCAGCGCGCTTGTTTGACATGAATATTTTAAAGAAAATCTAGGGGGTGAGTCTACGGTAGGTTCTTAGGGGGAAGATAGTACGGTTGAACCAATTTACTAAAATACATTAAAAATTAATAGAAAAGCTAACAAAATATAGAAGTATTAGCAAAAACAAGATTTTGGTACAGCTTTTTTCTCTCATGTCTGTAAAATATGACTCACATTCAAAAACTATAAATATCCACAAAATCTACCTCAAAATTTACCTAATACCGGACTGGCATAAATTTATGGATAGCAAACTTGACCCTCTACTAGCATGCGCAAATCATCTCGAGAAAAAATGGTTTTTAAATATCGATTTAAAAACGTGTACAATCATTTCGCACAAAACCGATGGGAAGTATGTAATTTCAGCATTCTTTTTGAAAATACAAAGGTGTGTAACGTTTCAATGCTGTTTTTACCAATTTAGCGATACTGCAATTCAGCGAAAGTTTGCAGCAGATTTTACTTGTTAAGTAGACGTTAGTCGAATCAACCACCAAAAAGTCGAAAAAAGATGTTGAAAAACTTAAATTGAATTTTTTCAAATTAAAAACGGTAGACAAATGAAAAAGCAAAAAAAATCAGTTTTCTATTGAATCGTTGAATAACAGGGTTTGTTTCAATTTAGGTCTCGTACGCATTAAAAAAAAACGGCGTTAGAGAGAAGCGATTACCAAAATTACAGTAGCTAAGAAGTTGAAAAACTTCGACGTTTCATAGTTAATTCAGCTCTAAACTGAACGATTTAGGGCTGTTTTTCCTTCCCCCCCCCCCACCTCACTCACACGGCCATGAAGTTTATAGTCTAACGAGGGGTTTTACAAGTTTGATTATGAAAACCAAAGATGTTTGTCATGACCGAATCAGTCTGCATGACAATTTTCATGACAATAACTTTAATTATAAAAATTTGCAGTTGGGGGAAAAGAAAAAGAGCCAGATTTAGATTAACTGATAGATTTAGAAAAAAAACGCCTTTTTCCGCTTGCCCTCCACATTTCATTTTTTAAATGATCATAGTTGTGTCACGTGGTACTATGGCTGAATGCATGATGCTACGATGTAAGCTACGAATAACAAATTTGTTCACATTAAAAAATTTATTTACGTAAATAACTTGTGAATGTAAATAATTCATTTTTAAAATTCAAAACCAAATGTGGGAAAGAGCCAAAAAACATTCAAAAATTTGAGGAAAAAAAAACAAAATAAAAAAAAATTTTAAAAAAATCTACGCGATACCCAAAAAAGTGTAAAAACTGCCGTAAAACTTATTTTCAACCATGACAAGGCTTCGATCACTGCATTAAAAAAAATGCATCTCAGAAATTTGTTATTAAAAAGAACAATTGAACCACTAAATGGTTCATCCTTCCCGGATTTGTTCAACTAAGAAATTTTAGCAAGTTTTCTAGGGTAGATTTAACTATTCCGGAGTAATCATGAGTTTTTTGTTTGTTGTAAGTAACGAAAAAAACTGGCAAGTCATGCGCCCGATTCAAGCATTTCATTTGAGCGTTATAGACATGGATCTTAATTGCTTTACAATAGTAAACGGGTTGGCTCTTTTTTCTTCTCCCACAACCTTACATACGCATCAACTTTATGGTTTAACGAGGAGTTTTACAAAGTTAATTAAGGAAATCAATTATGTTTACCACGGCCTAAAAAGTTTGCATGCCGATTCTCATAACAAATGGACAATGTGAACAATAGCTTTATTTGTAAAAACTCGCAGATGGGGAAAGAAAAAGAGCCAACCCGTTGTTTCTTTCAATATCGAAACTGCTGTTATGTAAACATTAGGCGAGTCTCATCCAAGCCAACAAGGCCCCAAAAAGTTGAAACTTGTATTGGCCTGAAACGACTTATTTACTCATGCAAAAATGGCTTCCGAATGAAAGAAGGCAATATAATTTTGGGCAACCCACTGATATTAAATTAACTGAGAAAAAATCAATACAAATAAGATGTTTTTGAATATCAGTTAAAAATTGTTTGATATATGTTTAGAAGTCAATGTTTTTTAACTCCTCGGGTTTCCCAATCAATTGGTATAACTGTTGCGAACAAAAGGTTCTAAAGTTAACTGATTTGTCAAAGGCTCCAAACAGTCTGGATTTTTGTTAAAGTCGGTTGCTAAAAAAGTCGATTGCTAAATTTGCTTAAAAGCTATTCTCTTAAGCAATTTACACTGATCAAAATAGTTGGGTAGCCACAATAAATTTGGCAAAACAAATCTGCGAAATTAAATACAAAAACTTGTGCACGAGGTGCTAAAAAGTGAAATGTTTGCTACAACCATCTCCAATCATAACAATGTACAAACCCCTGCATCTCAATTGAGAATTTTGTATTTAAAATGAGCCTTCAAACCAGTACAGGTTTTAACGGGGCAGTAAAACACTGCCGAAATACAACAGTGCCGAAAATTATTTTGAATACTGTGTTTACTAGTTCCAAATCCTTGGCAAGTAAATTAATGTAAATTGACGGAAGTTGAACAGTCAAAAATGGCCATTTTAATTTATTTCGCTCGTTAAGCAAAGAAAAATTCCCCAAGCGCGGCGTCTTAAATTTTTTCTGAACAAACAATTATTTCAGCAAACTGTCAAAGTCTGTCGCTTCAAAACAAAACAGTATTCAAACAAACTTTCAACAATTCGCAAACAGAACGCAAAATTTTCAAATAGCCTCAATTTTCGGCACTGTTGAACACGTTTTCATTTCCGGCACTGTTGTGTTCGGCAGAGTGTTATATCATTGTAATTCGGCAGAGTACTTCGGCAGAGTGCTATATCATCTTTTTATACGTTTTTTTTTTATATCATCTGAAAACAACTAGTGATGCTTTAAGCTCATCATGTAAAATGTAATTCACCTGCAACTGTTGTTAAGTTTTTGGGATTTGTAAAATGTCAATTGGCCAATTTGAGGAATTGTAACGCCATGTTTTTCATCCCATTGAATCATAAGTGGCAAATTAAAACATTCCAATTTGGGTTGAAGCATAAATTTGGTCGATTTGAAAATTTATCAGGCCCACAAATTTATCAATCCGTTCTTTACAATTCAAATTTTAGCCAAAATTTAGCCGCAAATGTTTCGTGTCAACCAAAATATTTAATAATTTCCTATCTAAATTTCACGCTAGGCGGTCTGAACTACGGTGCTACAACGTTTCATTTTATTGAAAGGTTTTTGATAGACACCATTGCTCATTCAGAAGTCAGCTTAGCGTGGAAAGGATATATCATGTTTCTAGTCGCGACGACTACACTCGAAATAGTGGGGAAAAAGTATGACCTAGGTTGCTTTTTCAAACAAAACAGCTACCTCAAAGAACGCTCAACGAGCATCGATTGGGTATCACATCAATGCTTTTTGTCGTGACCCAGGTGATTACTGCTCAACGATATTTCGAAATTTTTTGCTCAGCCTCAAGTAAAACTGTTCTGAACATTTTCTTTTTCTTTCAGTAACTTTTTTCTTTCGTAAATAAAAGCTTGAGTTTTGATTTCAAATCAACAAACCAACTTTCATTTTAGATGATGGACGAAATCCATGCAAAGTTTTTTGATGAAACAGGCCGGTCAGTTGCTTCAAAAGGCAACCTGAAAACAGTCAAGCAAACGAGCAAACAGCAACTTACAAACTCATCGACTCGGTTGCAGCCGGAACGTGAAGTGGTTTCTTTTCAGGAGCAAGATTGCGATCTGAATGCAACTTACAAGGGATACTAATTTATTTTGAGCTCCTCAGTGAAACTTATAATAACGAAAACAGAAAAAACTAAAGGTAAACAATGCACACAAAAGCAGTTTTGGCTCAGGTGTATTGCCCTTGCTCTCTCTTTTCTCGCCCTTTAAAATGATATTTCAATTTTGGATTTTTTGATCTATCTCCCAGGATGGAAAAAATGACCCTAAAACAGTTTTGAAGTTACTCACATTGATGCTTTTTTCTCAAAAAGTTTTCAAGCACAGGGCGATACTGTTTAAAATTCCTTGACCAGGTCAGTCCCTTGCAGTCTATTAAGAAATAAAATAACGATTTCTTAAAAAAAATTGGGGGCGGGGCTCGAAATATAGTTGATTTGCGCCAGTTGTCAACATCCGGAGGTGGGTCGTCGTCTCACCTGGACAACGAAGTGTGTGCGTGGCTGTGGAGTAGACTGCAAGATGAACAGGAGAAACTGAAAGGTTGTCAGGCTGAGAGAGAACACGAAATAAAACAGGCAGGTTGATGCACCATGCTCTAGCAAATTTATCGCGAGCGTTTTTTGCTGCCTTTTTTACAGAGCTTCAGGCTCGCGCCGACGTTAATTCCGAGAAAAAAATCATAGTCTGGTTAAGTTTTTATAGTCGCCGACAAAACCTAAGAATTTTGAACTTCGATCGTGCTAGTCTGAAAACTGGTCGCGATATTCTTAAAAATTTGCTCAATATTCTGAAAATTAGTCGCTGTATAGCCTGAAAATAAATTGCGGAAGTCTTGAAAAGATCATAGACTTGAAAACTATGATCTCAAACGAACCCATGTTAGAAATTAAACATTACCAGCTTTTGAAAAATTTACATCGCTGTGAGTCAGCTGCAGATTTCAGAAAAAAGGGAATGAAACTTTTCGAGGCACAAAACGTTTTGTTAAATTGAAATACGCGTTGCTTAAATGCATGGCAAAAGCTTTTTAATAACTGCCTGTACCCGGCAAATTTCTTACACCGACGAGAATTACTTCTATCTAATCTTGACTAGAAATCTGAAAACACTATATTTCTAGTCTGATTTCTAAAAATACATTCCTGTCGCTTGACACGAACCTCTTACCTTTTTCACTATTAAATTGCGTTAAACACGAAGCCACCGAAAACGATTTTAAAAGTTGCTAAGGCACTCTTGTCCAAATTAGCTTCAAAGTATTGCCAGTTGCAAATCTTAATTAAAAAAAGATAGTTTCTGTTCAGTAGCCACAAAAAATTAAGTTTCGATTATCTACATAAAATTTCCATCCAGTTTGGAAGTTTTTGTTGGCTACAGATTGCAGTAAATGAATTGCATAAATTCTACATATTATGTAAAATTTGAGCAGCAAAAATGCAACATTCACGAAAATTGCACCGGTCGCGGTTAAATAATTTTGTCTCCTATTTTTATCTAATTTTTCAATACTGAGCTCTGATTGGATGACAAAGTTTTCGCGAATTCAGTCCTTCGTTCAAGAGGTATGCCCACATCCAAATTTTGGCGTAGGTAATCGATTATAACGAATTATTATGTTGATTTTTTGACAATTATAATTGATTATATTTACCAAAATTATGGGTTTAAACGATTTATAATTGATTATAACCGTGATATTTCCCAGGAAGTTTCAATCTCTTATAATCGATTAAAATTCATCGCTTTTTATAGAAAAACTTGATAAATCAATTTTAGTTGATTAAATTCTCTTGTTTTGCCAAAGTTTTGTCTCACCAAAAGTATACTTTAATTACATTTTATGGGTTATTATTTTTCTGTCAATAATAAAATCTATAAAAATTTGATGTTTTGTCACTCTTTTGTTCATCTATACACAAAATTTTACCTCAAAACCAAGGTTTTATGGAGATCTTTTTAAATTAATTGAAAAGTTCCCGCGATAGGCGAAAAATATATCTTCCGAATAAATTCGGAAACTGAAGCAATGTGCTGATAATTTGGTGGTAAAAAAACTCAAAGTTTGCATCATGAAACAACTCCAATGGAGAAGAAATAGAAAAAAAAGTTATAAATTTCAATTGATTTGAAAACTTTTAAAACAGTTTCTCTTTTTTCATATAAACCAACGTCTGCAAAAAGCGTAAAATGGATTATGAATGGATTAAAATTGATTTTTCCGCAATTTTAGTATGACTGGTACTAAAATCATAGTATAATCTATTATAAGCACTTAAAACTGAATGCGAGTACTCAACTTTGGTCCCATCACTTTATTTCTATGGAAACATTTCTCGCTGAAAACTGAAGTTTTTAATTGTTAAATCAACATTTTATCTCAAATTAAAATTCATAGCAATTTTTGAGAGAGCAGATTTTTCGATAAATTTTTTTTGTCTAAATTTTCTGTGATATAAATTAGTTCTAAACCTTGATTTTACAGCGCTCACAAAACAATAAAAGGATTCCATATTTGCAAAAGCTTGCTAAAAGTTTCATTTTTGATGAAATTTCTGAGAATCCTATTATTATTCCCTTAACACTGGTCTTAAAACAATACCAAAGTGGAGAAACCCTTAAACTGATACTCGTTGAAACTGAAAAGATACTTTCACAATGACTGCATATAGGTGGCGAAAGATTTCAATCCTTGAGAAGGTGAGAGCGGACACACCCACTTTTGGGCGCTGAATCCGCTCCTGATTTCAGAAGCGGTAAACGTCTTTAATATTGAAAGCCGTTTTTAATATTGGTTTCCTTGATATTCCCTCCTTGTAACTCTCAAAATTCTACAGCATTTCTTTGTTTTTAAGACAATCATTCCGATAATCTTTATTCAAAACTGGATAGCGGAACGAAAATTATAGTAATATTACATGTACAAAAAATCAACGTAAAAACCAAAAACAGTATACCATTCATGAAGGATTCTTTTTGCATTCAAACACAGAATAACACGATTATGTCAATTTTAATTTTCTTTTTAATGAAGTCTTTATTTCTACTGAGCTTGATGAATAATCTTTATCTAAATTACGTCACATGCAGCCGTTCAGCATGCCGGGACTTCCTCTAAAACTGCCACAGTGTTTCCCACACCAGCAAACATCTAGCGTTTTGATTAGCTTTGATTTAATCACCAATATTTTCACCGTAAGTTAACTCACAATCAGAAAAGATAGCCGTAGTTTTATTGCAATTTAGAAAAGTTACTTACACGATTCAAAATTCAGTATTTCAAAACCACGCCCGCCGGTTTTTCAAAAAGCGGAAATTTGTCGAAAACAACTAGAGAAACTTTATTAAACTTCAACCTGAAAATTTGTAAATAATTGAGCCGGAACGTTTTGTAATATTGTGTTCATGTTGTTTGCTTATATGAGTAATGTTGAAAAAAACTACTTATGGCGCAAAAGCAAAAAGTTAGCTTCTCTATAATTTTGTATTTGTTCCCAATTTTGGTCATTTTCTATCATCTATCTATATTTTCCAAAATTTTTTGTCAGTGCCTATTTATTGATGGTATTTTTTAACCGGTTACCACACATTTTTGTCAGCACAAAATCTAAGTTAAGCCAGAATATCAAAAGGCTGAGCACGTATCTCAGAACGCTAAATTTTAACTTATCAACTTATTAATCTTATTAAACGCTCAAGTTAATTAACCAAAATTTTTTTAACAATAAAAAATCATTTTGCAAAAATTTTATTTTTACGGCCAAAAATTCTAAAACGTATTCGAAGTTAGATGAAAATAGAAAATGAAATAAGTTTTTTTTAAAAAAAACAAAAACTTAAGTTTTACTATAGCTATAGTTTTACTTTTTGTTTTTTCTCCATAACTAAAATTTTCAACATTAATCATAAAAGCCAAAACCATTTAACAAAAATTTCCGACTCGAATCATTTGAAAGCTAATTACGGCTAAATTATGAAACAAACTTTAGTCTCTGCTGGCTTAAATAAGTGAAGAGTCAATTATTCAACTATTTGCTCAAAATTGGTCTGAAAATCAAAAAAAAATTCGGACTTTTTTCTTAACAACAAGAATTGTTTTGACAATAATTTTAAAAAGAACAATAAAATCATGGCTGAAAATTTTTAATTAGATCCATCACTCCAACTTTTAGAATACGTTTCTAAAGAGAGAGTATCAGCTCTAAATGACTAAATGTTTCATGTATGGACAGTTTGATTTTTTGCAAAAACACTTCAAAAATCTTGCACGAGATGAAATTTACTTTCTTAAACTAAGCTGAATTGACCCTAATTTCTTGACAATTTTTCTGAAACAGAAGTTTAAAAATTCTTTCATCTTTGCCAAACCTCTAAACAGTCAATCGCCAAATTTTTTGAGCTGATAATTTCAAGTTTATTAGTCGTAACTTAACACAGCAAGACTGTTCGTATCAGGGCGAAGCCCTGAATGTTCCGACTGCCTATTAAGGTTTATGGAGCAGCAGTATTAACATAAAAAAAATTAAATGAAATAAAATAAAGTGAAATTTTTTTTTTCCAAAATTTGAAATTTTTTATGGAAATCATCCCCCACGCAAAATATTTTGGGTCAGTTTCATTACTCAACAACCGCAAAAAATGGGAAAATTGATTTTTGGAAGGAAATGTTTTCATCAAAATTTGATTGATGAACAATACTTGCAAAAATCGCTCGAATAACAAGTAAGATGCTGATTTTAATTATAATATTAATTACAAAACTATCAGAAAAGAGACTTGACTAGACGGTGTTCAGACAATTCGGTCATAGACAATTCAGCCAATTTCAAATTCAGACAATCCAGTCAAAATGAGTGAGACACTTCGGCCAAAGACAATTCAGACAGTTTTAAAGTTTTAAAACGTGCGCGCAAAAACTTTTCACACGGCAAAACATCAAAGTTTTCACAATTGCAAAAACTGTCACTATAAAAAAACAGTGTATCTTTTCCTTCTTCCCAAATTGGATAAACTTAATCGGAATAGCCTTGACAGAATAAGTTGACCTATTGAATGATAATATCCTTAAAAAATTAATTGTTAGCCAAAAGCGGTCCAAAGTTTTTTGAAAATTCCAATTTAAAGGGCGTCATTAACTTTATAGATGAAAAGAATAGCGATAACTTTCAATTCTTTTCAATTTCTCGACATCTATCGTTATCTCTACTATAAAAGTATAAAAACCAAATAAATTACAGGAACAATTAGCTTTTTTTCCGACTTGCGCCTGAAAACACGTTTTTACAGTTTAATGGCGTCCTCCTCATCTTTATATTTACAAACAAGTAAATAAAAACGCTGCTAAAATTATGGTAATCCTAGATTGAAAACAATTTTGTAACAAATTTTTAGCAACTTTTACGAGAACTTGCGATGTTTTCGTTTTGTAGTTTAGTAACTGAGCAAAAGTCATCTGCTCAATTTATTTGCCGCATTCCTTCGTCAAATTTACTCGATTAGCAAAAACTGTTTGTACCAAAAAAAAAATCATTTTGTCCTTTCATCTGCTCAGTTAAATTTACTTAGTAGCCAAAACATTTAACCGAAATTTGTGACACCTTCTCGCATGAAGACAACGTATTTAATTTTAAGAACCCGAGACAAAGTAAAATTGAGAGTTAAAAGTTTTGTGCTTAACTTTTATTTAGAAGTATTTTTATGCAAGAAAGTTCCGAGAATGATTATCCAATTATCTGAGCCACATTAGTTTGCAGCTCAAAAACAACGCTAAAATATGCAGTTTTCAAATATTCATCCTCGGACAAACTTTGGCTGCAACTTATTTTGTTTTCTAGTTTTTAGCTCGAAAAAATAAAAGGATTAACAAAAAATTAGTCAAAGGTACTATATTTAAAAAAAAAACAAAGTCTTACTAAAACATGCCTGCCAATATTGGATTAACAAGGAAAATTATATCAATTGTTTACGTTAGATTCTCTGTTCGAAAAAAAATTCATTCAACAAAGTTACCAAGAATTGGCTAATTATGAGTCTAGGTTTTTCAATGCTAAAGAAAACCCACATATTTTCACTGTCTGAACTTACTGTTCCGACTACTAAGAATGGAGAAAAACTTTGCATTTGGTGTGTTTTAGTTTTTCTTTTATTTTTTTGTACTCCAAGCAAAATCAGGTACCACAAAAAATCATCGAAAAAAGTACAGTGATATATCATATGAAAGCCTTTTCTGTCGTGATTTGAACGACCTTAAAAAAAATTAAAAAAATCAAAAGTTTTCCCAGAGTTGAAAAAATTGGTTTAAATTATTGGAGTTTAAGTTTGATTTTGTGCGAGTACAGCTTCTCATAGAAGGATAAACCAGTAAACATTTATTCAAGCCCTGAAAAGTTTTTTTTTGCTCTATCTTGGGCATAAACAGTTTTTTTAGACCTTTGTTGACAAAACTATCGTTCAGTTTGGCTAATTTACTACATTTTTTGGAATATGCTTCAATTCTAGATTTTCGCTTAGATCATTTTATCATACCAAAGACAAAAAACGACAGTAATTTGAAAAAATGTATATTCTTTTTATTGGCTTTTTAAAAATCTGGTCGGACGGCAAGCGGCTATCCTTGTTAATAACTGTAATTATATAAATGCATTTGTACTTTAGAAATTTATAACAGAGGCTTATTTTACCGGGACAAAGTGCATAGCAAACTAAAATACGCAACACTGATTCATGCAAATTATACCACGCGAGACAATTACAAGAAAAAAAAATGTTTCAAATGTTCTGTACTTGCCTGTGAAACGTTCATTCCATAATTTGTTCCATGCAATTTTTTCCGTAGTTTCATGAGAATCTGAAAATCGTAAGCTCGAGTTCCTGGATTACTTTAGCGCTAACAAATCCATTTATCTATGCTGCTGCTACGCTCATGAGCAAGTAATTTGAATGCAGTACAACAATCCGTTTTGAGTTGAGGGAAGATAATTAGCCAGTTTTTCCCCAGATTAAAATCAACATATATCATCATCTGCTGCTTAATTTTGCCTCTGGGGCAGAAAATTTGAAAAAAGTCTAAATATTAATTTTTATGAATTTTCAATTCTTTTTAACCAAAAAATATCTGGTAATTGTTTTGCCATGATCCTTCAAGTCCCTGCCGTGATATAAGAAGTATTGTTTTTCAGAATTTTCTTTAAAAAATGATAGAAAATTACTGCAGAGTGTGATTATCGCCCTAGACAAATTTTGATTTGTTAATTTGAATTAATGACCTACTTTTTTTATGCTATTCGAATGATATTGAAGCCTTGATCGCAAAGTTATAAATATTATTCACCTGCTATTTTTTGCAAAGTTTTTTGGGTTTGAAAAAGGGTTTGCGAAGTATGTCACTCTGCTTTTGAAGTAAATAAATTAGAAATAGAATCCTTAAACTGTCCTAACAATCAGGGATCTGCCCTGATACGAGCGATCTTCTTGGTTTTTATGCAGGCTTACGCTATGTAACCTTTTTGGTTACTCGCAGCAATAGTTATTGCTTATCTGTGTAATGAGCTCTGTTAAACAAAACTGTCTATTTAGTTCTGAATGTCTATTTCAACTTAGATTTAGTTTTCCTTATACCAAAAGATTGCAGCAAAATTGACATAATATGTAATGCTTCCGGAGCAGAAGTTTTACTTCAATGTATTTGTACTATAGTGGTCACGCTCAATGTCAAAATTGGAATTGGAAGTTGTCTTGACCATAGCACCGAGTGGCCGAAGTGTTTCAGCCAATCAGCGCCTTTTTGCTGTCAAAAACTGAGTAGTTTACACCTTCATTAATATCGTTCGAATTTTGAATACAGGTTTATAATTGGCTGACGTGGTTTTGAGTAGTTTGGTCTTTTATCAAGAGGGAATCCCCAATGTGTTTGCACAGGTGGAGAAATACGTGGAGGATATTCGGGCGTTGGCGGAGGAGAGAGACAGGCTGGTGAGTCAGTTGCAGGAGGACAACAGGTTGCTGAAGAGTGAACTCATCCACACCAAGACACCCACACAGCGCATGAACAAATGGTACCTTGAGGTCAGTCAATCCATCTTCTTCCAATCTTCTCCCCAGTTGAGTCAAACAACACATTCAAAAAATTATTTAGAAAAAAAAACAAAAAAAAAACGAGTAAAATGAAAACATGCAAAAATTTCCAATTTAGATTGACTAGATTAGTAGGACACTGCTGAACCGTAGGGTCTGTTTCCGAGCTCCTCGAGCAGAAAAAAGAGCAAGCATAACGTGGAGTTTGGATAAAAACTACTCGGCAACTTTTTTGATCGAGTTCCTGAAATCGGAAGAAAAACTTTTTCTTCCCAAAAAAAAATCAATGCTTAATTTTGAACCCTACAAAAATCTTGACTCAGATTTTTTGTCCATGTTGCTTGTTTATGAATATTTTTCATCCTTTTATTATCATTAATTTTTTGTGAATTCAGCTGGAAAAATTGACGAAATATTTGATGCTTACGAGAAGCTCTTCTTTTCGAAAACCATTAAAAGCTGAAGAGTCATTTAGGAAAGCCATTAAAAAGCATTAAGAAAATCAAAATTGAATGTTTGTTTCAGCAGGGCAACTTCGACAGGGACAACCTGTTTCCCCTGTCTCAACTTCCCCTCCCAGCCCAGTTTGATTTCTTGCTTGAGGAACAGACGAATCTCAGGGAGAGCTTCCAGAAACTACAGACACTCTACCAGTAGGTCAACTTGAGCTTAAGTCCCACCCGGTTCGAAAGGCATTCATTGCTTGCTAAAAATATGAGGCGAATCTTCTATGATATTCGCAAGACCTACCCACTTCTCGCGGCTGTTTGCAGTGGCTGGTTTAGAATGCAGAACTATCATGCATTCTATTCAATTATCATGCGTTCTATTCAAATATCTGTTTTAGAATGCAGAACTATCATGCGTTCACAAAAGTTGGACCAAGAGACCAAAAACTAAAAAATATATATATGAACGGATTATTCTATTGTACCCCTTCTCACAGTCTCAACAGAAAAAGTATAGAACAATAGTTTGAATTTTGTGGTATAAAAATTGTGTTGTGGCCTAAAAGGAAAAAAACGAGATGAATGAGCGTTTTTTGGGCGTTTAACTGTAAAAGTTAGAGAAAATATTGAGATAAGTTTTTCATAATCATAATCATAAAAAGAGAAAGATTAATATTACGAAAATCATGAAAAAAATAACACAAATAAGAAATAAAGATTTTGAAAAACGAGATTACCAATTTAGAGATCCAAATATTTGAACAGAATTGACCTTTCCCCATTCTTCAAAATAAAGTTTTCTCCATTCTTAAAAATGCAACCTGAGATAAAGTTCCGTCTATAATAGGACAATCAACTATATTTTTATATTGAGCGACATTGAGTACCGGTACTAGATTAAAAAAAAACTCGTTGTATCCTCCGACAGTGGAACTCAATTATGTTTGTATAGACGAAAAAAAAAGTTAAACATTTTCTCCCCTTACTCGGAAAAACTTTTTAAGATAATCCCACTGATGCTCTCTTCAATTTTAATGTTTTAACTTAAGACTAATTCAATTTTATTCTTTAATACTTTTAATTGTATAAAGTAGAGTTCGCTACAACAAAGTAACATTTTATCATGGCGCAGTCAAATAACGAATCTAACGTGAGAAGAATACCTCCATTTTGGCAGAACCACACGGTAGACCCACCTGTTCCTTGAGAAGATTGGAGCGATTTTTTCATTTAGCTATTATTGCTAAAGAAAACATACACATTGAAAATCTACTAAATCCCTCGGAAAGACGCCACCCTCAACCTCCAACTCTGGAAAATCCGACGGAAAAAGAATCGGAAAGCCTAGGAAAATCGAGAATAGACAGGACCATTCAAGAACAAAGACGACATGACGAGGAGGAAACGGCATCTATTAAATCAGAAACCAAGAAATTTAACGGAACGCGTTAGATGAAGCCGACAAAAAATTACGATCGATCCTGTACATAGCCCTAGGAAACGAGGGAAAAAAAAGTTTTCGGTCAAAAGTTCACAAAGGTAAAAATTCTACAACTTTCATTCAAAGAGTTTTGGGAATACTCAGCAATTGCTTTCGTCAGGAAGACAAACGTCACCTTTGAAAGTCACAAATTGTTAAATAGAAAACAACGAGACAGAGAGTCACTTGAACAATTTTGGGGATCCTTAGCAGAAATGGCTAAAAAGTGTGACATAACCGCAGGAGAAGAGGAATGGATCAGGGACATCTTCATAAACAACATGAGAAATTACGACATTCAACGAAAAATTTTGACTGAAACACTACCTCCGCGAGAAGCACTAAATGTGGCACTCATTGATGGAAAAAGAATCTTGAACCATTTAAAACTTACAAACAATTTTAAATCCAACGGACCACCTGTACACAAATCTCATAATCATTTTAATGCAATAAGAGAACCAACATTGAATATCGAACGATGCAACACCTGTATGAAATGAGGCGGAACCTTTTCAAAATGACACTTAGCTGTTTGCCCTGCGAAGAATGCTACTTGTACATCCTGTAAATACTTTGTAAATCTCCCCGCAAAAATTCAAACATTGTAAAAACCCAAATTGTTGATAATACAGATTTTAATCCGTCTGATCATCCGGATATAAATATGTACCATGTAAATAGAGAATGTTGGGGCGTGATTAACGCATGACTGGAATCGGGACAAAGCGATAATGATGATTATTCTGCATTAAATGTAACTACAATTTTCGACGACGACGGAAAGGAACTAAAGAAACTACTGAATATTGGCCTCGGGAAAGAAAATCGAGAAATCTTAAACATACAAGTGGACTCCGCTAGCCCGTTTAGCTTCCTTAAGAAGAAAGTTTTGCACGAAATGAAACTTCGAGATCCTTATTTAAAAATCTATCCGGTGATTAAGGCAACCAAAGACTTATTCTGCTGGTTCACAGACAACGCTATAAACATTTCCGGGAAAGTGATACTTCCTATCTTTTCAAACGAATGGTCACATGATGACTGCCATCTCTTTTTGATAGAAGGACATGAGAGGAATATTCTCGGACATGACAACTTGCCCAAAGTGGGGATAGAAATATCACAGAAGTACTTTCCACATTTCCAGACAAACCAGACGTGGAAGTCCATAAATTTTATTTCAACAGCAGATACAGAAAATTAAATCATAAACATCTCCAAAACGTTTAAAAACTTATTCCTTCGGATTGGGAAAATAAAAAATCTGATGAAAATTACTCATTTTCACTAACCATTAAAACCCATCCAATTACAAGGAAGACGAGTCCCCCTCCATTTACTTCATTCAGTTAAAACTGAACTTAACAGATTAAAAAACCAAGGGCACATTAAGAAGGTGGAAAATTGCAACGAAGATTGCTTTATCAGCCCAATCGTTATAACTTGTAAAAAAGACAAATCGATAAAGTTGGCCCTGGATTCTAAATTTATTAACAAACAGATATACAAAAAAAAATATCAGATGCCGAATATCCATGATATGGAAGACAATGTAGCGGCACAAATAGCAAATGATTCCGTCGGAGAAGTTTGGTTTTCAAATTTAGGCTTGAAAAATGCATACAGCCAACTTGCCTTAGACAAGTTTACTAGCAGCCAATGTAATTTTAGTATAGTGGGCGGCGACATTACTGGTACATACCAATTTTTAACTGGCTTTTACGGCTTAGGTGATATGCCTAACAAATTTCAAAGAGTCATGGACTCAACTCTAGGCTCGATCTATTTTTGCAAATTGTTATTTAGACGACATTTTAATTGCATTTAAAGGAAGTTTCTTAGACCACAAAAATACTGTGTTCAAAATTTTATCTACGTTAATTGAATACAACTTCACAGTTAAATGGTCAAAATGTAAGTTTTTAAAAAAAATCGAATAATTGGGATAAAAATCTCAAATACCGGAATTTCCTATTTATTCGACAAGCAATAAAGGATTTACCCATCTCAAAAAAATCTGAAATAAATGAGATCTTTTTTCGGATCTTTTAACCAGTACATCAAATTTTTACCCAATTTAGCATCCTTAAAAAGTCCACTTCGACCATTGCTAAATGAGAAATCTATCTTTTATTGGAATACTGACCATACATAAGCCTTTGAGAAAATCAAACAATAGATCGTCGATCTCACTGAAAATAGCGATTCGACGTAAAACGCAAAACTAAAGTAAAAACCGATACTTCACTCAACGGATTGGGCCCTCCCTTGAACAACTCCACGGGAATGATTGAAAAGAGATCTTTTTTGCTTCACGGTTTTTTCACCCTCACGAGTCGAAATACTCTACAAATGAACTAGTGCTGTTGGGAGTTGTCTGGGCCGTCGAACATTATAAAAATTATCTTCATGGATCAGACTTCGAAGTAATTACAGAGCATAAAGCACTACTTTCCGCCCTGTCAACCAACCACGGAAATAAAACTTATCATAGCAGACTAACAAGATGGGTTGATAGACTACTACCGTTCATTTTTACAATTAAACACCTCGCAGGAAAAGATATGGGTTTCACCAATTTAATTTAAAGAATTCCATCTGAAAAAAACTTTACCCATATCACATTACGATGAAGAATTCGTAGTTGCGAATATAAATAGAATTAACAGATCGGAGAAACAAAGAAAGACATGCTCTGCTATTGGTTCAAAAGTGGAAATTTCCGGTTACGCAAAATTACGTAATTACCTTATAGTTCAGTATTAAAACTGATTAACTCGACTTTTCCAATTTGTCCATCTAATCACAAAAAACTAAATTTTGCACTTCGAAATGTATTCCTTTGGGTTATTCGAACACTAAATGTTTAGTTATTTCTTCTTCTAATCCCGCATTTTTTAATTTCTTATTTCTTAATTGTAGTTTAATTAATTCAACTGTAGATAGAAAAATTGTAGATACTGTTAATATGGATAATAAAAAAATTGTAATTAATCTCTCAATTTCCGGTATTGAAATATCCTTAGACTTTCCCCTCTTATCGGATTATGAGAACCTTGTAAAAAATACCAAGAAAACTTGAAGTTGCCTGAACGTCCCTTGGATTTAAATACTCTTTTTAACGCCAAGCTCGTAGCTCTCGTAACTGACCCTATGTTGAGGCCTATTGTATAGGCACTCCAAAACAAGGATGAGACGAATAATGCGAATTCTCCTTACTTCAAACATTTCACAAGAGATTTACACGAATCCGATGGGTTGCTTCACATGGACGGTAAATTAGTTATATCTTTTACCCTGAGAAACTCAATGATAAAAACTCTCCACGAAACACATCCCGGTCAATTTGGAAAGAAGTATTTAGCCCAATACATCTGGTGGCCCCATATTAAAAGACAAATCTATTTCCACGGCATTAACTGCTCAGAATGTACAAAGACGGGTAAGACTTTGAAAAGCATAATTACTAATTTGCAAATTATTGAAATTCTCCCTTTACTGGAACCAAATAAAGAACTCAATCTAGATTTCGCAGGACTTTTACATTCACACTTGGGGTTAAATAAATATATTTTAATTTGCATTGATCGATTTTCAAAATTTTCTTCGGCAAAATTTACTTCATCAACATCATCAAAAACAGTTATTGAGTTTCTTCAAGATTACATATTTCTACACGGTATACCTTACTCAATTAGAGTAGACCACGCATCTTGCTTTA